GCATGTCTCTGCAGCTAAGGCATTCAGAGCACTGGCACAGAAGGAGCTTTGCTTTGAGCAGGGAGAGGAACAAGCCCTGCAGTCCTTACTGGGGTTGGCCTACACGTAAACATCCCTCTGGGGAAAGTCCTCACCTGCCAGTCTAGGATCTCCGGCTTCCCACTGAAAAGATTGTGGCAGTAATGGCAGTTGAGATGGATCCCACCTTCTGGACTGGTTCGCTGCAGGAGACAGAGACAGCTCATGGAGGGAGAGGCACACAGAGGGCAGCGAGCACCTGCTTTGTACTGCTACCACCTCCTGCCTCCTCCACCGTTCACAGCAGTCCATCTGCACTTGCACAGTCAGTCCATCAGATCATGGCTCAAGCTCCTGGAGAGCAGATTCTTGAGCAATTTCACTTTGCTTCCGGTGTACTGCATCCGGTTCTTCTCAGGAAGGCAAGCTTTCAAGCTGCCACCCCTCTGGATATGAAAGCATTCAGAGACAGGGGCTCCACTACCTCTTCTGATAATTCCTCTAAAAGATCTTGAAGCACAGGTGCCTGGTTTCTATTTTCAAGGTAATGCAACTTCAGAATTCAAGCAGCCATTCTCATCCCACCTTCCTCTGCTAGATTAAACAGCCATTTAGCACTTGACGTCTTGTCCACAAGGATATATTTACTAATAAAGTCATCTTCCTAGTTACCTCAGATAAGGTGCTCTGTGAGTGCCTCAGTACATGCATTTTCCAAGACCAAACGTAATTTTTCTTTTTCCACCATATTTCCAATTTTTCTTCAACATTGAAAATAAAATGGACATCAGATGAACATCCTTCCTATCTGTGCAACATTGTAGGTAGCTCTTTTGCTCCCTAGTTCCCAAACTTTAACTCCCTGTTCCTCTGCTTGTACTTGCAATAACTTAATTAATCCCTCCCTCTGTGACTGTAAACCAAGACGCTCATACTGTAAACCCAGAGCCTTTTCAAAATCCTTACTTTCCCAGGACTCACATCCCCACATTACTTGACTAAGGCTGATACAGAATCTTGCACTGAACTGTGTTTAAGCACACGTTAGGAGGAACCAATCTTGTCAAGCAATCCAGGTGCTTTGCTTTCTATGACTGCCCTGACCTCAGCATGAGTTAACACTTCACCAGTTTTTGTTTCATCTGCAAAATTTTATAACGCTTACTTTGACTTTATTGCCAGATGACTGATGAAGATGTTGAACTCCTTGGGCTTAATACTGATCCCCAAGAAGCCATCTTGAAACACTCTTTACAGTGTTTTTTCTTTGACAAGTGTTCCAAGATCTGCCAGCAAGACAGTTCCTAATCCAGGTTATGCATGGGTTTACTCATACTTTACAATGCTGATTTTACATGGCAATACTTCAAGCTAGATGAAGTCCCTGGGGACTGGAAAAAGGGAAACATTGTACCCATTTTTAAAGCGTAGAAAGGAGGACCCTAGGAACTACCAACCTGGCAGCCTCACCTCTGTGTCTAGGAAGACCATGGAACAGATCCTCCTAGAAGCTATGTTAAGGCACATGGAGGACAGGGAGGTGATTCGAGACAGCCAGCATGGCTTCACCAAGGGCAGGTCTTGCCTGACCAACGTGATGGCCTTCTATGATGGACTGACTACATCAGTGGACAAGGGACAAGCTACAGATGTCATCTATCTGGACTTTTGTAAGGCCTTTGACATGGTCCCCTATTAACATCCTTCTCTCTAAATTGAAGAGAGAGGGATTCGATGAATGGACTGTTCAGCAGATGAGTAACTGGATGGATGGTCACATCCAGAGAGTAGTGGTCAACAGCTCAATGTCCAGATGGAGATCAGCGACAAGTGGTGTCCCTCAGGGGTCCATATTGGAACCAGTACTGTTTAATATCGTCATCAATGACAGAGTGTGGGATCGAGTGCACCCTCAGCAAGTTTGCAGATGACACCAAGCTGAGTGGTGTGGTTAACACACCTGAGGAACCTGGACAAGCACGAGAAGCTGGCCCATGTGAACCTCATGAGGTTCAGCAAGGCCAAGTGCAAGGTCCTTCATCCAGGTCGGGGCAACCCCCGGTATCAATACAGGCTGGGGGATGAAGGGATCGAGAGTAGCCCTGCCGAGAGGGACTTGGGGGTACTGATGGATGAAAAGCTGGACATGAACCGGCAATGCATGCTCACAGCCCAGAAAGCCAACCATATCCTGGGCTGCATAACAAGAAGCATGGCCAACAGGTCGAGGGAGGGGATTCTGCCCCTCTACTCTGCTCTGGTGAGAGCCCACCTGCAGTACTGCATCCAGCTCTGGAGTCCTCAGCACAGAAAAGACATGGACCCGTTGGAGCAGGTCCAGAGGAGGGCCACAAAGATGATCAGAGGGATGGAACACCTCTCCTTTGAGGAAAGGCTGAGAGAGTTAGGGTTGTTCAGCCTGGAGAAGGGAAGGCTCTGAGGAGACCTTATCATGGCCTTTCAGTACTTAAAGGGAGCCTATAGGAAAGACGGGGACAAACTTTTTAGTAGAGCCTGTTATGATAGTACAAGGGGTAATGGTTTCAAACTAAAAGAGGGTAGATTTACACTTCTTCTTTAGGAAGAAATTGTTTACAATGAGGGTGGTGAAACACTGGAACAGGTTGCCCAGAGAAGTGGTACATGCCCCATCCCTGGAAACATTCAAGGTTAGGTTGGCTGGGACTCTGAGCAACCTGATCGAGTTGAAGATGTCTACAGTCAAGGCCAGGTTGGACGGGGTTCTGAGCAACCCTGAGCTCACTGCAGGGGGGTTTGACTAGATGACCTTTGAAGGTCCCTTGCAACCCAAACTATACTATGATTCAAGTCTTATGAAGTCTACAACTGTAAAAACTCTACAGCTACCCTACCAACACCATTTGTGATCTCAGTGAAGGATTACATCAAGGATTTATTAAAAAAACCCCACAAAACCAAAAACCAAACCAAAAAACAACACTCAAAAAAACCCCAACACAAAAACCACAAGAAAAAAGAAACCCCAAACCCAAATGCTGCAATTGCCAGTAACTAACTCTCTACCTCTGGATTCTCTAATTTTTCTCAGTTGCCCAAGACATGCCCTGGCCTAAGCTTCCCAGGTCTTCCTGGCTGTTGCTTTTTTCTTCGACAACTGTTGACAACAATTCCAGTTGCCTTTGAATACCACAAACATTTCACATATACTGAAACTTAACATCAGAAGATTAAAAACCACCAGTCAAGCCTCTGAGGATTATTAAACATGACGTATCCAGGCCTCTTGTTGTAAATTTTTAGACAACACATCCTAGAACACTTATGTCCCTTGGTGACGCCTGGCTCAGAGGGCAGCTCTGCCCCTTTCTGCCCCACTGTGCTTTGCTAGCTTACTTGTGCTTTTGCTTGTGCCCTCATAAGGCCACTACATCCCAAACCACTCATGCAGCACAGTTCTGTACTGCACTCCCACTGGGCATAACCTGATATACAGGATTATAGCCCGTCTTATCCCAACGGAGGAAGGGGGAGATAGGGCCAGGACTGAGTTATTGGCAACTACAGTCACTGCAACTCTTGTGCTCCAACAGAGACTTTCTTATGGACACTCCCTGAGGAGCCTGAGGAAGATGGAGCCTCTGCTAAGTGTGAAAGGAGGCATGAGCTCTATGGCCCAGCCCAGCATGAATGATATTTCAGTACCTGGAATTTGGTCCAGCAGCTGGGGCTGCAGAACTGGTAGACAACCCGGTCTGTCTTGTTGTAATAGCAGGGTTCAGATAAACTCTTTCTGCAGAAGCTGCAGGGTCTAGGGGGACCTGATGAAACAGATAGGAATTGGTGAGGGCAGAAGCACTGGATGTGGGACTGGATTCTGAGGATGGCATGCAAGCTACTCACTCATCCTCAGTCTGTCAAGCTATTATCAAAAAGCAAGGGACAAGAACACCAGGAAACTAAGAGCACCAGATTCTGCTAGGACAGAAATGTTAAACACGGATGGAGAGCAGAGTGGTTCAAGGAAGTGACCCTGGCTCTACAGGAATTTGGACAAAACAGGCTGCAATACTTGCACCAGAGACCATACCCATTCCTGGACACCCTGGTACTCTGTGTAATGGAAAGGGCAATGCCAGCACAGTAGGGCACTACAACTGCTTCCTGTGTTCTCAAGGACAGCAATGTACACTACCCCTCAGTATTAAGACGTCTACATGCTGCAAAGGTTCCTCCCGCTGCAAAGGTTCCTCCCTCTCCATACCTCCTTCCACTTGTCTCACTGGACTCCTCCCTAGGCAAGCAACATGCCTTCCTTCCAGTATCACAAGCAACACATAGTACCATGGAAGGAGTTAAGAGTGGAGAGGTGACTGATTCCCTGTATGTAGGTGCTCTTACCAACCAAGCCTGACTGCTTCACTTTGTGGGAGGTAGTGCAGCAAATGGAGCAGAACAGGCCCATCTTGCCACTGCGATCCACATTGGGCAGCATGTCGAAGTTCTTGCACAACGTCTTGCACCACATGCATGGGTAGACCCGAGTGTTCTTCTGCAAACAGAGCAGAACAGAGCTGCCAGGGAGACCATCACAGCTGGCGAGGTCCAACCCTCATGTCCCACCCCGCTACTGTATCCACCACAGGGCAGCTCTCCTGCAGGAAACATCTCATGCCAGAGCCAGGCTCATAGTCTGCAGGTTCAGGTGGTGGTAGCAAAAAAGGCTGCCTTTGGTACCTCACCTTCTCATTTCAAGGGTACCCTGGCAGGAATACAGAGCTCAGGAATACCATCAAGACAGTTAAGTGAAGCCTGCTCAGGCCACAGAGGAACATATCCAGCCAAGCTTTGGGGAGACATCCAAAATAAGCCAGCCCATGCTAACTGTATACACCAGTATTGCTGCACAGTCCAGTTTATTGAGTGCCTGACCCATGCTTGGGTCCAAGATAGGCCCCATGCAGAATAAATAAATTCTGTTTGCCTGCTTCAAAGTTTCTCCACAGCAATCTCATAAATGTTTTATCAGCAACAAAAGGCCAAGGGGATTCAAGTCACCTGCTATTGCATAAAGTGCCCTGTGACACACCAAACAAAGGAGCTGTGTGCCCACAAAGACCCCCCCTTGCCAGAAAGCTGACTCCACACACCTTCTTGTAACTGTTGAGACAGGCAGAGTTGCAAAAGCGTTTTTGCTGGCCTTCATGGAAGAGGTACTCCAGGGGCAAGCCCTTGTTGTAGATGTAAAGTCCACAGTTGTCACAGCAGTTGGTTTTCAGCCCCTTGGTGGCCCGGAACTTGGTGAAGCAGGCGTCGCTGCAGATGCGGTGAACCACATTCCCATTGCTGACCTCATGCTGGATCTGCAGAGACATCATTGCTGTCACTCTCCCAAACCACCATGAGCCTGCTTCTGACGTGTGGGTACCACTACTGCCACAGCCCTTGGGATAACAGGCTGTTACACTAAAACTCAGGCAAGTGTCATACTGGAAACTGGTGTGGACTCAGGCTGGCTTCCCTCGCCAACAATCAGTGGAGCAATTGGGAGAGCAGAGTCACAGGAAGCAATAAGCTTCAGGGCAGGGAAAAGCAGAAGCCTTATTTCTTCTGCTGGAATAAGGGCTGGTTCACAGTAACGAGGAAGGACTGGGGAGAGAGCCCAAGCCAGCTCAGGGGCTGAGGCCTCACACCACAGAGAACATGGCAAACGCTCTGTGATGTTCCTAGGCAGGGCTAAGTACTGCAGGTCACAAGCACCTCATCCAGGACATGGGAAGGACAAGGGATTTGTTTACCTCGCCAGGTTTGTGGCAGACACTACAGCGGCTGGTGTCTGAAGCATCTGCGGACTGAGGTGCTGGTCTGTGCTGCTGGGCCTCGTAGAGGGAGAGGCAGACAGAGGTGCAGAACTCATGGAAAGAGCCGCCTGAACCGATCTGGGCAACCACAGAGTCCTTGGTGTTCCAGATCTCCCTGGGGATCAGGAGGGGATGTGTTAGTGCAGGGACACACCAGTCCTGCCACGAAGGGACAGAATGGCACACTGCAATGCACGGGACTTCCTGGTGTCCCAAAGGGTGGCAAGAACTGTTGCACAGCAGCTTCTGTCCCACCCCAGAGGGGTGGTGCCTAAAGATGGAGGATGCAGGAGGTTGTTTTGAGAGGAGGCTGGGACATGGTGCACTGAGCCTGGGGACAGGCAGGGAAAGACAATGTGAAGGGGGTGTAGGGGAGATGCAGTGTGTGAAGGAAGACATGGGGCAGCAGCTGGCAGGGGGCAGGAGTGATGTGGGTGAATGGGAAGCATGAGGGTCACAGGGATGGGAGCATTGAGGAAAGGGGAACAAATACACACTTTTTACAGAAGGTGCATATCTTCTTTCCAGGTGGTTTTTTTGAGAAGGTGGTGAGACAGGAGCTGGAGCAGAAGAGCTGAGGGAGCCCTTTACGCTGGTAGGCAGTTTGGCCCTTCTGCAGTGGGGTCCGGCAGTTGGCACAAGTCATCTTGGTGACAGTAGAGCGGGCAGCTCGCTGAGCCATCTGAGTGCGTAAAGACATGCGAGTTGAGCGCCGGGTACGAAAAGGAACAAAATCCTCATCGTTGGGATCATCCACCATTGCATCAGAGTCTTCATCAGAGACTGGAACTGCAAAGCAGCACAGAAAGATGCACAGAAATCCCTCATTAGGAACTGAGACAGAAACCTCTGCCATGACACATGCTGGGGCTTTCTGGGATCTCCTTTCTGGAGTCCCTCTACATGCTTTGTACCTGTCTGGGTGGGATAATAAAGTGACCCTTAAGAGATATTCTGTTGGAATTGAAGATGAGTGAGGAGGTATTTAAGCAAACTGCATTTAAGTATAATTCCTCTCTAGGAGGTAATGATTTGCCAAGGTTGAGCAGAAGCCCAAAGCATGAACATTTACAGCAGAAAACCCTCCGAGAGCTGGTAGACCTTGAAGGGAACAAGTTGGATCACCAGCCTCCAGCACAGGCAGGCAATGAAGGAGTAACACACAAATACTAGGGAATGGCAGGGTGACACTCAATATCTCAAAGAACAGACTTCACATACTTCTGCAGGCAAATCCCCAAAATGCAATCTTCCTTCAGACAGCCTGCTGCCACAGAGACAAAGGAAGAAAGTTCCTTGCTGAGGAGATGGAAGATGGATTTCTGGGAACAACCCCAGAGACTCATCCTATTACTTGGTGCTTGGTGTCCACGCACTACTATAAGAATACGATAACCTTCCCTTCAACCTAAGTGCCCTGACAAAGCAAGGCAAGTGCCCCAGGATGAAGACTCACAGGGTGAAGGGACCTGTCCTGTGTAAGAGGACAGTCTGCACAGAAGCTCCAGAGTTCCCACCTTACTCACACCATGAACCCCCGCCCACAACAGGCCTAGGCCCTGCTCTCTGGCTGAAAATAGGCATTGGCCAGCCCTAGTTACTCACTGCTCTCAGAGGAGTTCACAGTTTCAGGCCTGGCAGTTTCTGATCTTCTGGCTCGTTCACTTCTTTTCTGCTCCTAGAAGACATTCAGAAAATACTTCGGCTAATTGTCTGCTAGGACAACCATGGATAAATATCCCAGATCGTGGAGTTTCAACTTCTAGGATTTGCTTTCCCAATAACTAGGCTAAAATGGATAAAATTCCATGGATACCTGACCAGAGTTGGCAAGATGGGGGAGAGGTGGGAAGTAGGCTTATGAGAATGACATTCCAGCTGGGGGTAGCAGGGACACACTGAAGCCACATTACAGCACAGTGGCAAGGCACAGGGATCACTCCGTCACAGGATACATGCAAACTCCTTCCCAGAAGGGTGACGAGACAGTCAGTGTCCCTCATGGAGTTTGACAACAGCCACCCTCTGTGCTCCTGTTGCATACATACTTGACTGCATTCTCCTCACCTTCTCAGTTGGCAGCTCACTTCCCTTCCCAGACAGGCTTTCTCCTGGAACAGAAGCACAGAAGAAGCTTGCATCTAACATGTTGCTTTTCTCCCACGGATGAGGACAGGTGTTCTTCAAATGCAGCCACCCTTTGGGTCAGTCTGCACATGAAGCCTCAGACAGTCCTGGCTAACAAGAACAGTTCTGGTGGTGATCAGACACAGCAAAGCTCCCAAACCCACCACCTGTAGTTAGAGATCCAAAGACAGTTTGTGAGGAGTCCTGTAAGGGGGACACCTCACTGTATGGGGGGAGGCATGCTGGGCAGTTGCCTCCAACTGCTTCTGACCAAGACTGAGCATCTGAAGATGGCCAGCCTGGGTGGAGAGACTTTGCCTACTGGAAACACCTTCTCCTGATGACCCTCAGTTCCAGCAAAGACTCCAGTGCTGAAGAGTGCGAGCTAAGCTGATGTGTAGCTGCAGCTTTGTCAGGGAAGCTCCTAGCTGACACAAGCATTGAAAATCAAAGTTAAAGCTATGAAAGCCAGAGCAAGAGCTTGTGTGCACCACGGGAGCAGCTTCCAGAGCATTATTCCCTGTAAGCAAGATGCTTTCTCCAAATCTAGCCCATCAGTAGCATTGACAATTTCCATAGCAGGGGACAATGGGAAAAGCTGGAGTGCAAAACAGATTCCAGCTTCAGCAACGTGCAGCAGGATAACTTCCTGAACAAAAGGAAGCCAAGTTCTGCAGAGATAACAACCTACCTGCTGGTGGTGAGGCTTCCTGTGCTTTCAGTATGCTACTTTCTTTAAGCGAGTTGTTCCCATTATCAACCCCTTCCTCTGCCTGGTTTTCCTCCATGGGCTCAGGGGCCAAAGCTGCAGTACTGTTGTCCTGGCTCAGTTCCACCTCTGCTTCCCCTGCCAGCCCTTCCCTCCGCATGGGTGAGCTTTTCCTTGGTACCTTCAACCTTGTCTTCTTTGTCTGTTTAAGATTGAGTTGAGGGGGGGGCATTGGCAGACTTGAGGATTGTGCTGTGATTTCTTCCACGGCTGGGGCACTGCTGAGGTCCCTGGAGTCAGGAATGGGCTGTTGGGGTGATTCAGGGGTGTTGTCATCAGACAATGCAGATATAGCAGCAGCACCATCTTCCTTTAGGTCCCCAGAATCATTTTTTGGTGCATCTTCCCCTTCTTTCCATGTTTCTGGAACAAGGGCTTCTCTAGAGAGGGCAGAGGAGTCCACCAGTCCATCCTCCACATCCTGGGAAGGATGTGCCTTATACAGCCCATCCAGACCCTCTGATTTATCTAGCTCCATCAAGTCAGCAGTTTTATCCAAGTCATCTAAGACATCAGGTTTCTCCAGCATATCTAAGACACTAGGTTTATCTAGAACGAGGTCGTTTGATTTGTTTAGTTCAGACGGGCTGTCTGCTTTCACTAGAAGGTCCAAATCCCCATCTGCAGTCATCTGCTTGGATTGATCCCAGTCAGGGGGCTGAAGAACTGAAACTTCCTGGGTAGAAGCTGTTTGGGAGCCCAGGAGATCTTCCCCAAACTCCATGTCAGCAGGGAGATCACCAATAAGTGGTTTGTCAGGCAAGGACAGGGGGTCCAAGGATCCTGAAAATTCACTGGAATCCATTTAGAAGATGGCAACTGGAAATGAGAGAGAGACTTGCAAGTTAATGACAAGTAGTCTCACACAGTGCATGAATTGTCCACTCTTCTGAACACTGCTGGAGTAAAACAAGGCCCAGCAATACTGCTAGCCATAACCAGGATACCAGCAAGTCAATCACATCTACCTGTGAGGTTACAAAACTCTAAAGCCAAACAGCAGCAGTGGGATGCAGCAGTTTGGTACAGTATATCTAAAAGCACAATAACATTTTCTATTTCACAGTGGCAGATAAGCTCTGTTTCCATAATCACAAACAGAAAACTACAGAAGATGCAGTCTTCAGAGATGCTCAGCAAGTTTCACCACTAAAGACTTTGGTGATTCTGTTCACTTTCTTTAGTTACAGAGAAGACAAAGCTCTTAGAATAAGCCAATTCCAGAGCAATACAGGATGGCTGTAGGGTGGCTGTCAGAAAGAGGAACAAAGTGAAAAAGAAATAAAGACATCTGAAAGAAAGGTCCTAAGGATTTGAAGCAGGTGAGAACCCTCCCAAGATGATAAAAACATTTCTTCTGCTGCTCAGAATACAAACAATGCCTCCTTCTCAAAGATGTCCCACACCCAGATTTCCAGACAGACAGGAGACCTTACAACAACAAGCAGCAGAAAGGTCAAGCCACCCAGATGAACAAGTAAAGTTTATTTATAGGTATACCTAACAGGACTGACATATTCCTCAAGTTCACCTTCAGACACTTTGCACAAGTCTGCAATGAACCACAGAGGTGATACTCCTACAGTATTTGCCGCTTTCAGACAGCCTACTCTTTGCTTGGTAGAAATAGACCCTGGGAACAATTTTGGAACATAAGAAATCCATTTGGGCATTCCCTCCCAGAGGATAATGCAAGTAACAACTAATCTATGAACTTGCCATGCTACTTATATACTCTAAAAATAGACCCAAACCACCTGGTTTCAACAGTGTATACCTTAACATTGCTTTCAAGCTTTGGGTGCAAGAGCATTATGATGCAAGACAAGATTCTGACAAACTTAATGGCAATAACATTGACTAACAAAACAGTCTTAAAGAGAACAAGCATTCTGCAGATTAAGTCAACTCCAGACTATCGGTATGTGGTTGGGACAGATATGCAGACCTTTCTGCAGACCCAAGAGCCACAGTAAGACCATTCACTTGCATGTTCTGGTTGGAAGCACAGCGCTTGCCCTGTGTGTTCGAGGTCCTGTCCACTTTCATCAGTTCTGTCTGAACCACCCTGGCAGAACAGCTCATGTTCTGGCAAACAACCCAAAACAACTTCTTAGGATTTGCAAAGCTAAGGACTGCTGCAGTCAGTCAAATGAAAGGACCATGTATTCAAATATCCTGTTGCTATTCATACCAAGAATGGATAACTGGGGAGAGTATAAGAAACATAACTAACAGAACATTCCTCTTCAGCACATCCTCCGATCAAGGAGCAAGCAACTGCTGAAGAACTGCTTAGCTTGAGTTGCACTCAGACTGTCACTGTTAAGAGCCTGTACTGGGCAAATCCTCTATGAATCTGCCTAATCCCCCTTTGAACCAATTTATACTTTGGGCCTCCAAAAATTCCAGTCGCAATACATTCTGCAGCCTAACATTTAGTTTTAAAAATTATTTTCCTTTTGTTTATTTTAAACCTGCTGCAGCATAGCTCTGTGACAAGGCAATACAGAGCAGATGAGTGCTGACTTTTGATGTATTTATAAGAACCTGGAAAAGCTGATGGAGTTTGGATTGAGGCTGGACCCAAAGAGGTGATGCTGACAAGCAGTTTGAGTGGGAAGGCAAGGAATGTCCCTGCCCATCACTGCAATTCTGTCTCCCTGACAATTAAGTTTTTACAGTGGCTTTCAACCGCCAGATGATGAGGATGAAGAGGGCAGCCCTCAGAACAGGACAGAATGATGCTTTCCAGCTCCATGGGTTGCTCTGAAGTCAAACTCAATCTGAGGAAATTAGAGCTGCCCAGCTGCAGGAGGGTAAGAAATGCTACTTCTGTTTGCCCCAGGCATTCAGATTCATCTGAGCTTTCTGCTGAGCTTCACAGTGAGTTAAGCTGCCAACTGAATGTGTGTTTTACCTCTAGTAAAGTTTCTTCTCACTTTCTCCAACAAAAGAAAAATAGCTTATTGTTTCTGGCAGATTCTGAAATGATCCACCACAAGTCATCATCTTTTTCATTCCAGGACCATCTAATAGACAGCTCAGGCACTGGGCTCTGGTCAGTGGTCTACCTGAAATATTCCTCTTTTCCAGCCACATACCTGGCAGCAAGGAGAATACGCTGAAATACAACTCGGCCAGGAAAAGAGGAGACAGTGTGCTGAAATCCTGCATGTTACAGCAGATACAACTGCTCTATTGGACATTTGGAAACTCCTTACTTAGGACTCGGCAACATCCTCTCCAGAGTATTCAATAACAGATATTCCTGGAAAGATCAAGTTCAAGGACTGAAATCCCCTACACAACAGTCTGAAGCAAAGGACTTCTCAGGTAGCATGCAAGAGTTTCCAAAGACGTGATAGGATGGCTGAGGGTCCTCCCCAAGTGTGCAGAACTGGCATAGAATGCAACATTGTCTGCCAAAAACAACACGTGTGACTACCAGACCTGACCTGCCCTTTCTGCCAAAGAGGAGGTACATGGATCTCCTCTCAGACCTGGAAGCTCAGAGTGAGACATCTCTGCCAGGACACCAAGTGACTACCTGGGACTTTATCTAGCTTACTAAAGACAGCAGTGGCTCTGTAACCGCACAGGTCTTCCACATCTTAGTGTCCTCAGATAACTATTAGCAAGGGAATATGTGGCCTACCTACAAAAATGAGGAGCTACCATCAAACATTTAATTAAAATCAGACAGTAAGAAAAAATACTGTAGTTACTCCCTCATGATGAAGTGAATACCTGAGAAACCTCTACTGCCCATGAAAGAGCACGGCCACGGAGTTACTGCTTTCCTCTAACAAAAACAACTGCTTGGGTACCTGTCCTAGACTTTTGTTAATGGATATGGATTCAGACTTTCAAGACTTTTGAAAGTTGAAGGATTTCTCTTTTTCACTATTTGAGGTCATTTGAAATATGAAAAGCATTAAAATCTACAAAAATTAAGACACTTAAATCAACATTCCAGCTAATTCCTACCTACGAGCTCTGCAAGACCTGAGCAGAGCTCTGGAGGAAGTGTCTATTTTTTGTGCCAAATTTTAGAATAAACCATAACACCCAACCTAGTATTTCTGAACAAAACAACAGTGGTTGATACACATTTCTATCAATAAAACATTAAGAAAATAATATCATGTCCTACCAGCACGGTTTCAGTCAACAGATCTTCATTAACAATATTATACCTTGAGTGACAAATATGGCAGAAGCTAAATTCATTGCTGTGACTTATCTGAGTTTATCTGGGCAGTTGATAGCTTTCCAGATTCAAGAACTGCAAACATTTATTACAGATTGATTAACTCATTTTACAGTGAATGAATTTATAAAGCATCACAAATAAACTAAGCACACTGCTAAGGACCAGGTTTCAGTCCAGTCAAAATTCTCTGGAAAGGACCAGAAAGGATTTTGTTATTCACTAAGTGTTTTTGGAGAGGCAGCTGTCTGAGCTCCCACCTGGCAGACCAGACTTGGTCTTCAAAGAGCACAAAGCCCATTGGTGATATTCAGTACAGTGCTGCTTGCACACAGTACCACATTAGACCATTACTGTCTCATTCTTGGCTAGTATCTACACTTGATGACAGATACTGGAAGAGTGGAGATGTTTAAAATAAAATAAAAAATCTGACACAGTAATGCAAGGATCCCACTGCTTTAAGAATCAATCATGGTTCAAAAAACACCTCCCAGTGATAAACCTATTTTGTTCATTGAAAAGAAACGGGGTGACATGACCCATCTTAAAAAAAAAAACATGAGGTAAGAAGATCTACAGCAGGAGACTCTTCAGAGAGATAGACAAATGCACACAAGGACTCAAAAAGCTGGAAGTCAAAGTTGGACAAATTCAGAAACAGCTATTTCCAGATTAACACTATAGATGATTACTTAAACAACTGACCCAGGGATATGTAAACCCTCTGTGACTTGGAGATTTTACAACAGCATTCAGTGACTCTCCAAGTCAGCTGTAGCTACTGCAGATGTCACTGGTCAAGTTCTTCAGCTTGTGCTTTGCAGGCAGGGCTCAGTGAACAGTTGTCTCTTCTCGTCTCCAAACATATTACTGGTTTTCTCAATTAGAGTGCAAACAGCAGTGGGTATCACCATGTCCCCTTCAGGCCAGTCTTCACACGTGACTCCAACTGTTTACGCAACAGGAACTGGTAGATGGGTAAAAGAAAGTCCTTCCCAGAACACCACCAGCAGCCTCAAGACTCCAGCAATGGTTTTCTAACAGTCCCAAAGACCACTTCTACATTTTTCTACTGCAGGAGCTTAAGGTGCAGGCCTCAAACTTAGTATAGCAGTCACCCAGAATGAAGAAAGCCTGAACCCTCCAACACAAAGCAGATAGTGCTGCAAAACAACACCACGAGTTCCCTGTTAATTCCTCAAAGGCAGGAATGACCAAACCAGATTTTGAGCTTGCATTACAGGAACTTCATTTCAGCTTCAGGAAAGTGCAAGAGGAAGGATGAATTTCAGAAATCTTCTTGCAGAATTGTCTGGAATTAGGTTTACCAGGAGACTCCTTGCAACACTTCAAAGGTACTTCACAACATTCTTCAGATCTCAGCATTACTTGCTGCTTTCCCAACACCTCTGTACTAGTAATAAACTCTAAGACAATCAACAATGCTCATCCATCCAGAACACCATCCTGGCAGCAGTTGAAACTGCTTGGATACTCTCACATCTTTTCGTATGGCCAGGATCCCCCAAGCACTAAGTGTCAAGGCTTTGCAACAGAGAAAAGAGCAACAACTCTAGGTACACTCTAACACAACTTGCTTT